GATTCGCGCGCGAAGAGATATCCAGTTCACTTTGCGCGAATCTGTAGCGTCTTTCCATGATATTTCTATCGAATTTTCGCGTCTCTCTCCAAGCATCCAACCGCATCTGTATATACGGAGCTCATCGCATAGCCTCCCATCTCTCTCCATCTTTCCTCCTGCTCTTGGCGCGTTTCTATCTCGCGCAATTACGCGAAAACTTTCGGGAGAATATCTGCCGGCAACTCTACGGCGCACACAAGGATGCTTGAGTTGTTTTGGGATTCCGAGCCGCAAATAGGGGTCAAGGAGGTGTCCTGAGTCGCGCCGAGCCACGACGCTGCATCGCGTTACATCTCCGGCTGATGTTGAGGCAAGATCCTGACCTATAAATAGGTGAGCGTCCTCGAAAGCGCGACAGAGACGACGCATGGAGAGGGTCGCTAGTGGAGAGAACGGCTCGAAATTCGTGGACAAACAAAACTATTCGTCTTTCTCTGGGCGGAACAATTTCCTTGGAATTTATCCCGGAGACACTCAACTGCAGTTACACCGGCGTGCGGAATAGTTACGATGCCTTAGCGCGTGCGCGGCCGCGGATAAAAGGAGGAATCTCGGCGTCGCGTAATCTCCGGGATTTATCCCGGAGGAAGTTTCTTACGGCTTCGTGTTGCCACGAATTCATCGGCTTCTGTAACTTCTTTGTCGTTCGGCCCTCTCAACGAGAATGTATGCATTTGATATGAGAAAGATGTAGACAGCTTAGTGGAAAAGCCGTTGTCTGACAAGCAAAAGGTTTCATTTCCAGTATAGCTGTATAAGTAAAAAAATTTTGAATGAAAATATTAAAAAACGCTGTTGTAATTACAAACAAGTTTTATTAAGTTTATCATTATTATTTGAACATTTTAACGACAAATATGCATTTGTAAAAACATTAAAATTTGATACTTTAGATTTCGAGCATCCCGCTAACATGACAATGGTCATTAATAATACTGTCAATAACAGTCCGCGGTTTAATAAAAAGCATTATTAAACTGAACAGATAAAGGATGGTTTGTTAAGTGAGTTGCATTGAAAGAGTGGTCATTATGTAACACATACGCAGATAAACTTGTTATAATATCAGAGGAAAGCGAAAAAGCGAAATAACATATACAGCGCTAAAAATACGAGCAAACGGGTAATAGATTTTTCCGGAGGGAAAGAGGTAAAATAAAATAAAATATGTTGATTTATTGTCTAACGTACGCGCACGCCAATTTGTTCCGCTTCCACGCGTGAACTGTCTCGTGTCGTGAGAACCTGTCCCGCTGGATGCAGAAAACACGGATTGCATAGTCCATGCGATGTGCTCGTGCAATGGAATTACAAAATATGTCTGTGGATTGTACACACGTGAGTGTGGTTGACATGTCTGCACCGAAGATACGCCAATAATTGTCTACCGAATGATATGCCAATTATCGGGATCGATAGACAAGATCTTTCTATTTGTACGAGACCATGAAATCGCACCGAATGGCATCATAAAATACATTTTTCCTAAAGTGAAATATTAGTTCAGTTTTACTTTCTGTTGAAATAAATTTTTAGCAAAGTATATTTTATAAATATTTTATCATTTTAACAAATACGTATTTATTTATTCATTTTTCTCTTATAATCTGGTCATAATTATTTCTGTGTGATTTAATACTTAACAATATTTTATTAACGTTATAGCAAAAAAGAAAGGGTTTTTAAATGTAATATCAAATGTTGATAGTAGATAAAAAAAAAGAATTATTTAGAAATAATTGAAATTTAAAATAAAATAATTTTCTAATCCTATTGCAATGTTATTTCTAGAACAAAAAGCATTCTATAAAAACCTAAAACAAATCATTAATCGTTATCGAAAAACACACATACATACACATCAATTCAAATCTAGACATAAACTAGTGGAATTTTCCTTTCGCGTGCCTCCTATTTCATGTCAGTAACAAATCATATTTTCTACAATTTAATCGTGAGCTTGATTCATTGCCCCGTCTCTTTACAATACGGCTTCATAATTTCAAAAGGCTATAAAAGAGAATTTTACATACAATTCACAATCGCAGAGTTGCCACCGCTTTCGTTCTACATTTACTTGGATATTCTTATAATAACTTCTCGTTTTATGCAGTTGATGTAAATTACTTTATTTAGCAAGCACTAATTACTTGAAAACTCTTAATTATTTAATTTATTATAACACGTTTGTTACACAAATGGAAAAAAAAATAACAGATATATATACATATACTTATTTTTCTCGACAATCTTATTCTTTGGCCAATCCCAATTAATTTCTTTTCAAGAAAAATATATATGTATGTACATAGCTATATCTACACACAAAAATAATTAGCAATTGAAAATAAGAGGTTCCTGGTAAACTAAACTTAATGAGAAAACAATAAATGACAAAATCATATTTCTCGGTAAAGTAAACCGCTTTAACAGAAAATGATTTTTCTCTTTGCATTTTCTGTAATAAAAATTGTTATTATAAAATAATATGGTTAAAATAAACAAATATTTGTATCGCACATATTTGAATGAAAAATACATATGATGCAATGTAGATGTATATATGATATAGAGATAATGAATTTACATTAATATAATACAATATATACCATAATAATAATTAGTAATCTAATTACCGTATCATACACAAATTATTCTGGTACTAAAATAACAAGCAAAATATAAAATTATAATTCACGTAAAGCCACGTCAATAACTTTTTAAACTAATATCAATACTAACAATATTAAATAAGAATAATTATTTTATAACTATAAAGAGAAAAGTTTACAATATTAAAAACATAATATAATTAAACATTTTAAAAATTTACTAAATATTTTATTGTACATATATGTATATTAATTATTAACTATTTTAAAGAGAAAAAGACCGTAAAAGAAATATTCTTTTCAATACATATTTAATAGAAAGATATTTCATTACAATTATGATAATAACAGAGCATTCTTGATATTATTAGCATTATCACTTATTTATGTGTATAATTTATTCGTCGGAGGTAGACGAATAAACTTCGAGTGTAAAGGCTCATAAAAAGAGAACTCGTCAGTGCACTTCGTTATTTCCTTTATACGGGCTGTAAGAGTCATCATGGTAAATGAGAAATTGAGGACAAAGAAGCTGCCGTTGCTGCTGCTATGTTGTAGCGCGCTCGCAATTAGGACGAAGACGAAGACGAAGACTTCAGGCTACTCATTAACTCCGGCATGAATTGGCGAGCGAAGCGCATCAACGGACTAAAGTCGAAGAAGTAACAAGCCGGCATCCTGCAGCCCGCGCCGTCATCCGCGCTCCGTTCCTTTTATTTCGCCGGGGTGTCGCCGGCAAATCTTATTTAAGACAGATTTATCGCCGACTCCGGCACTGAGATCGAGGTGGGATATTACACCGGACCCGGATGCGCCATTCACAATGCGACTTCTCGACTCAAAAAGTGTCATAACTCAAAACCTGAGCGCCTCTTCGAGCACTTCCGCCGTTCCAGCACATCGTGTGCCAGAATCTGTCCTCTCGTCGTCTCTGCTCCGATCTACCCCTCTCTTTCACCTATCCATCTCTCTCTCACATTCTATCCACCCTTTCGTTCTATCCTGTAGCATGGAGAGAGCAAATGGAGTCTTCCGTTTTTTGTTAATATGCGAGAGGACCACTCCGGTTAGTATCAAGCGTTCTGCAAATTTTTTTAGCGTATCTCTATTTCACCCGCATGACAAAGAGTACCGCGCTAAAAATTTTCATCAGATTTTCCGATAAAGATCAAGGGAAATTATTCAATTTTGATATTGAATAAGATATTATTATATTAATATTGAATGAGATTTATATATAGATTAGTATACGAAGTTATATAAAGGACCAAGTAAAATCACAATCGTGTATTTTTACGGATTAAAATTAGTAGAAAATTAGATAAAAAATAAATTATTAAAAAGATGAAATATAATATGAATAAAATAGTTCAATAAAAAATAACTTTGGTTACAACCGAGAAAAAGAGTTGACTGCGTTTCCCATAGTTTTTGCAATGCTGAATTCTCTTCTTCAAAATGTTTTATCAATGATAAAATTATAATATAATTTCGAGAAATTTGAGAAAACTTTTAAAAAAGGGCTAATTTAATATACTTTTTATTATGCTTTCTACAGTTACGACGTGATATATTAGAAAAGATATATTTAAAATTGAGTTTGTACAATATTATTAATATTTTTAATTCTTTTATTAATATGGCAATGTCAAAATTTAAAAATTTTTGTAAAAATACATATATAGAGAAATTTTTAGGATTACTAAACATTAATTATTATTCGATATCTAAAATATTATTTGTAGTGTGTTAAAAACACCATTAACATTTATTTATATTGCTGATGTAAATAGTTCGTGCTGTTAAAGTATGACAAGCGCTTTCAATTGGTTTGTTGATCTGAAAGTGATATCTGCTCAATTTCTTTGTCCCAGTCTTTTCTACTGCTACATTATCTATATCGATTTGACTCCCGGATATATCAAACGAGAACTTGCGTAAGGAAAGACGCATTAAGAGAAATGGACCGTGGGAGGTAATGTTTTTCGGTGCACCGGAAGAAAATCCAGCATTTGTGACGTGAGCGTTGTCACGCTACGTGACAGCGTTCGATGCCATCGATCGCGGCCGTCCTGATCAATACGCGCGTGTCGCAGAATGAAAGAAACGAGCGAGTCCGGCGATCTATTTTTTCGTTCTTCTTCCGCAACGAGCGGGCTCCATTAGTCCGAGATTGGCTAATGCGCTCGAGCGAGCACCGCGACACTTTTTGTGCCGGCTGGACCGGTTGAATAATTGTGTTTTGCAACGTCCGCGGGAGCGCTTAGCTGAACTCCCTCGGGCATGGATCCAAAGAAGAATTAAGCAAAGGGGAAACTTGTGAAAAGCAAACCTATAAAAGGAACAATGGCACCAGGCGAATCGCGCAGTTTTTGGGACGATCGCGGGTCACGCGGATTGATTAAGCCTTTGCATAAAAGAGGACACGATTTGCGAACGCTAATTAACGCCATGATTTCTGAAGTGAGTGCATATTGCGCGACATATTCCAATCAATCCTGAATTACTTGTCAACTTCGTAACACTCTTCCGTAGAAAAGCGTTGAAATTATTTGTATCAAAATATTTTAATCGTTGGATTGATTAATCTTGCAATCAAGATTAAAAGATTTTATCTTTTCATTTTTGGTATATTAAAGTATTATCAGAAAAATATTATACTTTTATAATATTTTCATTAAATTTAAATCTTTTTTATTATGTTTACTTAAAAAAGCAATTTTAAAATTTCTTATTATTTTTCTCATTTAAAATTTATTTTCTTGTCATTTTAAGAATACACATATTTTCGTATCTTTTGTCAGTCAACACCACATTCTGTCACATTTTCATAATTAAATCTTACTATAAACCTCCTTTATTCTGTTCAAGTTGATTAACTTTTTCTCTTTTAATTATAGTTCTTTTGTTATCCTAATGTATCCTTATATATGTACATCGACACTTTGTCTCTTTTAAGAGGGAGAGAGAGAGAAAGAGAGAGAGAGAGAGAGAAAGAAAAAAAGAAAGAGAGAGAGAAAGAGATAGAAGGAGAGAGGAATTCTATTCTATATTTCATCGCTAATTTTTAATTCAGGAAAATTTTATTAATCTAATAAATGTATTTTTGTCAAGCTCGTTCTATTCGTATTAGTGCTTTCGACTTTGCTTTTGGTCAATGCAAAACCGGACGGATATGCACACTCTTTACAAA